TTAAAAGTGCTTATTTCTCTGGATTTAAACATTCTTCGAAACATTTGGGATAATGTAAGTACACAAGTCAGCAAAATATATAACACTGTTCTAGTGGTTTTTGGGTATTTTAATAAAAAAAATCTTACATATTGTGCCTTTCACTGTTGCCAACTAAGGGACTGTAATACTCACACAGAATGAACTGTTGTTGGGCCGAAAAGAAAAAAGAACATGGACTGTTTAAAGGCCTAGACAAATTAAATGAACGGAACAGTTTGAAACTTTCCTTGGAGCACCTGGGAAGTATTTGTTGCACTTGAACTTGACTGTTTCCTGTATGGACTTGATTCTTAATGAACATTCCTTAGTGCCTTGATTCTGGGACTGATGTTTGGGGCACTAGCTCATTGAACTTGAATTCAGAAGAGCTGATAATCAGCCAACAAGGACTGTCTGTGAAACAGAAACATGATGTGTGATTATTGAATGTATGTATTGAATGAAAAAAAAAAATCGTGAAAATTGAGAAGATGTATTGAAAAACTATCACATATGACCTGGTACCTTTACAAGTGTGAAGGGAAACGATATGGACTGGTTTAGGACTTTGAGTGTATTGATGTCGGGACGACATCTTACTTCCACCCTGCATAGTTTGGATCATAAAAATATTAAATTGTTTATATATATTTTTTGCATATATTTTAATGTGTTATAATGAGTTTGCACTGGACAGTCCAGCTGCATTTTCCGAATTCCGGGTGACAGTTGAGCGAGTTGAGTTACCGTGACAACTGCAGCATCCTCAGACGACAAAGAGGACCGCTTGGGCAACCACTAACCCTCTCTCTCTCTCATTTATTGCTAAGGTTAGTTAAATGTATCACATTTTAATGTCAAGCTACAGTTTACATGATTTAATGTTTAAATAATTTGTTTCAGTTCAATTTGTTTCAATTTGAATATTCTTGTGTAATAGGGAAGTCCACTGATGTATCATTTAACCTGAATCATTTTTGTATCACTTGTATTACTTACCTGAAATAAATTTGGGATTTCACTCAACCGCAGAGCGCCACCTGCCGGAGACATTAAACCACAGAAATAATAATAATAATGATGATGATAATAATAATAATAATAATTCTTATTCTTAACGATATTCTATTTGTATAGCAATGAAGTAATTTGCAGTTCTGTAAGAAAAAAAAACAAACATACAAAAAAAAAAAACATTGGTTTGTTTTGCGATCACTTCAAAAGGATCTTCTAAAAATAACCAAAACGATGAAGGCTGTAATCTAAAATAATGTAAAATAAATAATTTACAGCACAAACGGCATTCGTCGACACAGATTCGGTTTGGTGATATAACGTGTCGTTC